TACGTCTGGGAGGCAACGCATTGTTGTCAGATGTGGGGTGACCCATCATCCGGAGGGTGGGAGGGGGTGTGTTGCTTGGACGAATGTGGTAAGCTGCTGGGGTCAAGAATGTTAAGAAAGGCATAAGAAAAGTACGCGCCTGCGTGAAACACCAAAATTTTTTGCGCTTCATCGATTCATTTGATTAGCTTTTTTTTTTTTTTTTTTTTTTTTTTTTTTTTTTTTTTTTCAAAGTTATGTCCCCATTCTAATTCAAATGCATGCAAATCGTCTTTGAACATCAAAAATTCCAACACCTAATTCCAAAACGCGGGGAAATGCGCAATTGTGGTCATTGGTCCAGGGGTGCAAAAAGTTCTTAAAGCCTTCCCATTTTAAAAATCCCTTTCACAAAAATGCCCTAGAGACTTTCTTATGACTCTGAACGCATAAATTGCCACGATTTTTGGAAAAAAACAAATGATTTTAGCCACGATTTTTCAAAACATCGCAGTTTTGCCCTTTTTTCCCCCCTAAAAAAAGGTTTTTGTAGGGAGACAAATGGTGCACACGTCGTTTCTAGACTAAGGTAGATATCGTTGTCTTACAAAATTGTAAAATGTTGTCTACTTGATGGGGATGTGGAGATGTTTAATATACTGTTTGCGGTGGTGACAATATTGCCTCACCTTTGCGATGGCTTTGGTTGAAGTCCATAAGAGTTTTTCTCTTCAATTATATGAAAAAACAAAATAATTACTGATGAAAATCGAACTTAGTATAGCAAAAATACACAACAGTTTTTGGTTCATTCATGGATGCGCACATCTGCAGGGTCAAACCAATATCACACAAGTAAGGCGTTGTTTCTGAAGCGAGCTAAAAATATTAGTTCCTTTTGCATAATGCAGTCCAGTTGTGAAAAATTGCAATCAAACATATTCATGTGATGGCAGTGCATGGAGAGAACGGTTTGGCTCATACTTATCACCCCTATTGTTCGGCATAGTTAATCGAGATTGTCCGTCACAAAAGCCGAACTTTGGTTCAGCTTACGAAAATTCTGTTTCCATGACCAAAAAATTCGGTTACTTGAACTGAAAAAGTTTGATGTTCAGTATGAATTTGACTACATTTTGACCTAGGAAAATACGATTTCTGGCCGTAACTCGTACGTAAAAACACTTGTGTGCGTAGGAAAACTAAGGCACGTATGTTGTTTCTGAACTGCGCCAGAAATTGTGGTTCCTAATTACAAAAAGTAGTCCAATTGAGATTCAGCGGCTGAAACGGCACTTTCTTTTCTCTGTGTGTCATAATCAGTACGGATTTACAAGAAGAGTTAAGCGTTTATGTAAGAACTAGGATCACCACGAGGAATCGCATACGAAGAAAACGTGGGAAGTCTCATTTTGACGATGCTGTAACGAGTTCAAGGAGAAAACGAGACAAAGAACTAAAATGTAAACCGAGAAAAGAAAAGGATGGAGAACAGGGAAACGTCCTTATTAAACGGCAGATCAGGTTACGTATGAGTGGGATACAGCAAGGTGTAATAATATAACTACGATCAGCGAAGACCATTAAACCATGCGGGGACCTTCGCTTTGAGTAGAATTTTCTGGTGAGCTCTGTATTTCTAATGCCTTTGCTCTTCTCCCACACAATCCTCTTGGCTACATTTCTTGGGTGTTTGTTCTCGGATATTGAACATTTGAGACCTTGCTATTTTATAAGTTACAGTTTACTCTCATTTTCATGTCGCTGGCTGAGGTACATGTACAATACCGCCTATCTGCAAACTGACGATTTCACAGTACAAAGTAAAAACTTTATGCAATTTTTGTACGTTTGGTTGGCAATATTTTTAAAACTTTACAGCATCATCAGAGTGCTCCCAAGCGAATCGGAAGGAGCTAAAAACACCAACCACATTTTATACTGTAGAATGCGCCTAAGTTGCGAAATTATTTTTGGCGAAATTGTCACAATGTCACATAGGCGGTATTGCACCTTAGCCATCGATGTGAGAGTGACATTGTTATGAAGATCAAGGAGTATAAAAGTCGGTGCCGAAGTCTAAGTACTGTCCAAAAACCCCGAGCGATATGAATGTGAAGTGAAATTGCAGGATAAATTAAACGTACATGCTATCCCGCAAAAAGGGTACACTGGAAAAAAAACACATTGGATCTAGAGTCCAGACTCTTGAAAACATTGACAAGAAAAAGGACTCTTAATTCAATCAGTTTTAAGCTTAAATCAAAAGAAAATCCGCTCAAATTAAGAGGCTTGGTTCTTGATTTAAGATTGAATCTGATTGAATCAAGAGTATTTTTTCTTGTCGATGTTTTCAAGAGTCTGGACTCTAGACCCAATGTGTTTTTTTTCCAGTGTGCGAGAAAAACCCCTTTAATAGCTAGTTTAGAATGTGTAAAATAAAGTACAATCGAATATATTTCTCACTCATTTTTTGTCGTTCGATTTCAGGAACTCATTAAAGAGGAGGGCCAATCAGCGTTAATTATCAGAACTTGAACGGAAGCCGAGTTCTTGAATAGGAAATCCATTTGCCAGAGTTCTGAAAGACCCTCAGGATCGAGATTTGAAGAATTTTAAAAGGTACGCATTCCGATCCTCAACGAATCAGTGAGCTTTCATTGCGTCACTACATTTATTTATTTATTTATTTATTAAAACTTTGTACATGGGAGCCCCATTATTAGGGCTATGGTACAGGTCAAGAAACACTATACAATAATTAAAAATATAAATTACAACTGTANCATAATGATTCTACTCGAGGAGATCTCTCAAATAATGGACCACGACGATAAAACTACACTGCCCCTTTTCAGCGAGTGGTCGAAAAGTTGTCAAAGACCTGAACCACTTTGAAAGGGGCCAGTGTTGTTAAATTTTGATTCAGATTTTCCAATTGCCACCTTGTTCGATGACGGTTGAATTCGAAATTTTCTCCGTAGACTGGCAGCAATGTGCGGGGCATGGATAACTCTGTCAATATAACGTTAAAGCGCCAAATGAAAAAAGAAAAAGAAAAAAACTTTACGATCGTCTCCAAAGTGAGGATATTTGGCCGCGATTTAAATGAGCCGAATTCCGACCAGCTTTGGAAATGCATAGAGTATACTGATGTTTTTAATGGTCACCTTTGATCACTCGTTTTATTACGACTGGCTCTTTTTGGGTCCAATCAATCTTAAAAATGTCCTCTTGGTGACTTCTCAAAAACGTAGTTTCTGGTTGTATTTCGACAGTCGGGTCGAGCGAAACGCACGCTGTCCACTTGCAGAAATGCTTTCATTGAATTCGAACACGGATATCAAAGATGTTCTGATTTATCGCCGAATGACTTATACTCCTGATTGTAAGAAAACTTGCAAAACATGGATATTCTTAGGCAAGAACTCGTTTTCATAACGAGCGGCAAATAAGTTTATTATTAAAAGTAAAACAACACGAATTTATGAAAATTGCTTTCATAGGAAGGAATAAAACTCTTGATTTACTAAATATTTAATAAGCTACGAAATAGAGCCATGTTTAGAATCGGAATTCACTTTTCAACCCTAAAATACATGCTTAAAATTTAAGGCCGACTGCATGACTGAATGCCTCTTAAAAACTTGGGAACGGCTGGGGTTGGGGTAGGGGAACTGCACACTGTTGAATATAAGAAGGGGACGAATAAATCAAAAGAGTATTCTCGGGTGTATACTTTTAAGGCGATTAAGCGATTTTATCTATGAATTAGCTTCATAAGTCATGTGTTTTCCGCCTCGTCGATTTCATGACAGGGGCTAAAATATTTGGAAACTTAGTTGTTGCCTGATCAGTTGAATAAATGCGAATAAATACGCAATTTATTGGAGTGTAACTCCAATTGAGTGGTGGTATTGGAGTGGTAGCAAGTGAGATATTGTTTCTTTCAGCATACATACGTCCAATTTCGGTTTAAATCAGTCTCATATTGAATTTTCTCTTTGCAAATCCAGTGGCGATTTTTGCCTCAGATAGCGCAGTGAGCTACTTTAATCAGTTCAGAATAAATCATTAAATATATAAAATTAAAAATAAAAAATAATTAAAAAGTTAAGAATAGATAAAGAGTGTAAATGAAAGTAGGTAGAGTGCTTCAAAAATAAAACTGTTGATCTGTATCTGATCTTGGGTTAAAATTGTTTAGTAAGGGTGCCTGCTATGTTCCTCGCCGGAACTACTTTGTAAAAATGAGAGGAACTATCAACATACTCCCATCCCTAAAAAATAAGTTAGACCTCTGTTTATAATGTCATGTATCATGAATATAGTTATTCGTCCCTGCGATCTTTCCCCCTTGATTTATGTAGTTTCAAGAGTTAATAAATCACCAAGCACGAGACCTTCAATTTCACACATCTGTAAGTGGGTAGTTGGGGAAGAAAGGCCACAGGGAATGGTGGGGGTTAAGTGGGGGCGAGCAGAGAGTTCTGAACCACCAAAGGGGGTCAAGGTTTTTGCTTTAAATTTCAGAGTAGGTAAAACTATTAGCACTGAATCATCTTCAAAATTGTTGAGAACTATTCTATGAAGATGGGGGTGGGGCAATTCCCACCTGGTCATTGCTTAATGCACCTAAGGGTGCAACTTTGTCTGCACAATAAACCTGCTTCAGGTGAAAATTCAAACCAGTAAAAAAACCTGCAATAATTTACCCTCAAATTGAGGCGAGTGACCTAGTTCCTTTCTACCAATTTATTTTGATCCAAAAAATCATTAATTGACTCCATGAATGAAGATTAGCACAGAGCCAACTGGATTTTGCTCGGAAGATTTAATTAACCTACACCACAATGGCCACCTCTCAGGTAATACTATCGTGATAAACAATATTGAGCTACCCATGGTGTGATTGGGTGGTCGGATGAGGAGAAAAATAGAACTAAATAGCGTAAAGCATAAAGAAAAACCATTCACATGCTTTAAATCTAGAAAAATTGTAGAATTTTGAGATCTCTCACCTGTGTATAGTGTTATCCAACTGCTTAGATCACCAAATGGTCGTCATACCAGTGGGGGCGTTCCAGGTGGGTATTCGATGGTTTAACTGGCTCAAAACTCAGTTTCACCACACAAAACTATCACTAAGGAAAACTTTGGGGTAAAACGGATTGAAAAACACGTAAAAAAGGGACAGAAAGGGGTCGAAAAACTAGATTACCTATAGAAAAGGGAGCAGATGCTAGGAGGCCCTACGGTGGAGCATCTCGCCTACCACAGACGGACTTCCTCAGTGAGAGCGATGGAGAAACTCGTCGACGCCGACTCAGCAACAGTCACCGACAGCAACCAACACAAGCACCACAGCACAACACAGGCACACACGACGCGAAGCGAGCTACGGGGCACAGCGCGCGGCCTTGGCGAGCAACGTTCGGAGCAAGGGTTTCGAACTCGACTGAGCGCGAGGCGGCCAGGCGAGACGCGGCCGGAGCTCCGGTGGGGCGCGGGGCCCCGCGGGAGAGGGGCTCCCGCCCCCCGCCGGCCCGGGACTCAGTTGCGCCTTCAGAACGGGCGCAGGCTACACAGGTGGCATGGCTACCTGAGCGCGGGCGGAAGATCACTGTCGTGCTAAGTAAGAACGCCGTATGAACATTCGGGAGTTGCCGAATTTCCCTTGATAAAACCTGTTTTTCTGACGAAATTCATGCATATTTTTCCATGAAATTTTAGATTATAGAATTTAAGAACTTTTTTTTTTTTAAAAATTTTAGATCATACAAAATTGTTTGAAAATTTGAAAAATTGATAATCACAACGGGCTCAGGCTACACAGGTAGCACGGCTACCTGAGCGCGGGAGATCACTGCCGCGCTAAGGAAGAACGCCGTATGAACATTCGGGATTTGCCAGATTTCCCTTGATAAACCTGTTTTTTTGACGAAATTCATGCATATTTTACCTTGAAATTTTAGATTATATTGCATACAAAATTGTCTGAAAATTTGAGAAATTAAGAATCGCAATTTTCCCAGTACTTTCGGTTTTTATCGAAGGAAACTTGGCAGCGTCTGAAGGTTCATACGGCGTTCTTCTTTAGCACGGGAGATCAGGTATGGGGTCTTTACTTGGAGAGCAGGCTAATGATCTTAATTGAATTTCCCTTGAAATTTAACTTATTTCATTTAAATTAACCTAATGGAGAACTTGCATTCAAAATGTGTATTGCTTCATTTGAGAGTGCCGGATGAGCTGAGTTCGCAGTATTTTCCATGATTTTTTTCTGACATGGGAAATTGGAGAAAAATATATTTAAAAGTGAGAAAATGCACCGCCTGGTGACGTCATCTGGCGGCATTTTCCATTGAAACACACTTATGTCATATCTCCAATAATTGTTCAATTTAGGAACCAAGGATATCCTCGCACTTAGTTTTCCTAGCAGTATCATTTTAGAATCAAAGATGAAATTCTCAAAATGTCAGACACCTGCAAATTACTCTATGCCTATAGACGGATGAACATTGTCCTAGTTCAACGTTGCAAAATTTTAACTCGAAAATTTCAGAGTATCACTGAGTGACTGTTACGCATTTTTTTTCTGACTACACGTACAACTCAGCCGAAAGTTGGACACGATTGGATTGTCATACTTTTGTTAAAAATTGAATTGTTTAAGTCGATTTTGCAACCTTGGAATGGAGCTACGTTCCGTCACTTTGGGGTAACTTCAGAAAAAAGAGTTTAAAATTAATTATTTATATTTAAAACATTTTGAAAATAGTTTGGATAGGCTCAAGCTCTGGTTTAAAAACTCCAGACAGCCAGCCAACGTTTTAGTTGTTTTTTCTAACTCTGCGTTAAAGTCTCCGAAAAAATGAATTATCAACGCATGGCTCTAAATGCTCTAAATGTTTATTAGCTGTGACTCACAAAAAAGGCATCTATGCAATATTAAATATGATGAATTTCCCGCTGACAGGCTAGAGTTCGAGTTCTTTTTAGGTAGTTGTAGGTTTACTGGAGGAATCAACTGTGGTACCTACAGGTAAAACAATCTTGATATTGTCTGAGAAAACAATATGTATCGCGTGTGAGAACTCGCGATACATTTTGTAATGGATCTAAAATAAGTTATAGTGTACAAGTTAAAATCGTCGGGTTCATTTTCCATGGCAGGCTGATTTTCAAAATTGATGGAAAAAGCGATAAGACAAAGAAAACAGAAACTATTGGCAACTTTCATCCCTCCTTAAAGAGTTCAAGTACCCGGACTGAAATGTTTGTTCCGCGAAAAATTCATCTTTCAGCGTAAGATTCTAGTTCCAGCGCGAAATTATGATGTTAACGCACTAAAATTCTGTCCAATTTTCTTAATTTTAAGCTGATGTACGGCATTTTTGTATGACCGCGATTTGCCGCAAAATGCCATACATCGGCTTAAACTTAAGATAATTGGACGGAATTTTGGTGTGATTTTATAAGAATGGGATTTCTTGTAGCTTGTAAGAGATAAGTATAACCTCTTCTGATTCACCTCTTTTGTTGACTGCAATCACCCGCTTCTACCACTACGGTCGCTCCATATTCTTTAACTTTTCTATGCCCATCCCATTGTCTATCACTTTGTTTATCACTTTTCCTATCCACTTGTCAATTGCTATGTCTATTTCTTTGCCTATGGATGCGTTCTTAGCTTTGTCTATCGCTTTATCTATCCAATCGTCTATAGCTTTGTGTATCACTTTGTTTATTACTTTTTCTATTTCTTTGTCAATCGCTGTGTCTATTTCTTTGTCAATCGCTCTGTCTATTTCTTTGTCTATGCATTTGTTCTCAGCTTTGTATATTGCTTTGTCTATCAGTTTCAATTGGACCGAGTTTAACAGAAAGGAACCAAGCCACATCTGCTATTGCCAAAATTTAACTGGGCAATTTAATTTTTTACGAGAGATCGTTTGTGCGAATTCTTTTGAAATTTTTAAAGAATTTGCTTCAAATTATAAAGAGTTTTCACTGAAATTTGCACGAAAATCCGCACAACCGTTTTAATAAAAAAAATAACTTGCCCGATTAAATTTGGCACTAGCTGATGTGGCTTGGCTCCTTTCTGTTTAACGCGGTCCAATTGTCAGCCCGCAATTCCGTGGTTCTCTTTAGTTAGGAGGTGGATTAGCTTGATTGGCAGCTTGATTTGCTTGGTTCGCTTGATTCGGTTGATTCGCCTGCCACCACGGCAAAGCACACCATCTGAGCGAGACCTTCTCGTACCACTGTCTGCCGAAGGAGCAAAACGAAGGCCTGAGCTTCCGGATGGAGCAATGCATGGAGTAGCCCCGGAGTTGCGTCGCGTCGACGAACCGGCGACACTTGGGTCGGACGGTCCAGGGACACCGATATCGATGCCGCTCGGGGAGCGCGTTGAAGGCGCTCACTGCTGCCCGACACTCCGGCTCGGCGTTGTGTTGGAAGTCGCCCGGAAGGACCGGGATGTTCCGGCACCCGTCGTTGTGCAGCACGGCCAGCAGCGCTTGGTTATCCGCCGGAGGCCCAGGAAGTCCCGCGCCAACCTGCAGTTCAGAAAAATACCCGCAGGTTATCAGTAGAGTACCTTTATAGCGAGAGTATGGACAGATCGCTTGATCGCGAGCTTAGGGCCCAAAAGTGCAGCCACCCTTCTAACCAATTTCTAACGCACAAAATTTCACTGCCAGTCTGCAGATTCCAATTCTAACCGAGATGGCCAAGAATGTACAAAAATGAGCGTTCTTCCGCAAAATTGAGTAAATTTATGCAAAAACTGAGTCAAACACGTGCTTAATAAAGGACGGTTCGTAACAATAGTATCAGTAAATCGCTCTGGATAATTGAAATTCATAGGTTGGCTGCCCTTTTGGGCCCTAACTTTATTCGCGGAGGCATCGGTGAAGGCCTGTTGAATTTTCGGAGTTTCACATCTGTCTATACTCTCGCTATACAGGTACTCTAGTTATCAGGCCTCGATAGACGATCCAATTCCGCACTGTTAAAAATCAANGCATGGAGGGTTTGTTTTGATGTAGAGGTGGACTCTCAGGGTAGGGTGGGATATCCCCTCCATTTTGGCCTCACTTTGAGAGCTTTTTTTGAGCTTGGGAGTTGATTTCAGAGAAAACCAGTGGCACCATCGTGTTTCTCGCGAACTTTTACATGAGAATTAATGGTCAAATCGCAAATCTCTCACACATGCAACATCTCCATTCAGGGCACTTTGGTACGAGCGCCGAATGGCAAATTGGTAGCTCACTCGTCTATCACCGTTGCGACTCGAGTTCAAATCCATGCTGCGGCAGTTCCGTTTTACGTTTGCATGCCAGATTTTCACTCCCACAAGACCGCGAAATTCGCGCCGAGCTTATTTCGCGCCGGATCCATGCACTCAGAGTAACAGGTGGTAAAATAACAACTGTCTAAGCGTGAATTTCGCGCCGGGATTTTTAATAGTCGCGGAGCTCATGAACCCTTTACAACCTTTAGCTAAAGCAAAATTGGACGTTTTTCTACCAAACAGAACTATGTGCAGGTGAGAAGTATGGGGTGTGCTATAAGTACTATAAGTGCTATATTTCCCAGGACTGAATTGAGTCTCATTGCACAGTCATACACGCGGGAACTTAAAATGAATATGCAGACTTCGCGGTCTCATTTTGTTTAGATCGCGAGCACTTAACGATGAAAGCAGCGGTGCTTCCGTGAAAAATTTGATGTTAGACTTTACCTGGTTAACTCATTGCGCAGATCTCGAAAAGTAGGGTGCAGGAACAGAACACGCGAAGTTTGGAAATTGAAACTGTTCTAGAGACGAAAGTAACTGCTCCAAAGATGCGGAATTGTTTCCGCGAAAAACTTATCCGCTGCCATAATAAGAGTGGTATGAAGAGATGGCATGAAAGTTAGATTTTAAAGGAGGCGGACGTACTATAGGACTGAGATGTGGATATTTTGGTGTTGCGCAGTGGCGTGGCGTGAATGATCAATTATCGATATTTCCCCATTTGAGCCATGGTAAAGAATCGATTATTAGGGTGTTCGCTGCAAAGACCCTAACATTTGATTCTTTACCACAGGTTTAAATGGTGGATCAATCGATATATCGCAAAGCACGCCACGCCACTGGTGTTGCGCCGGAGATGGCGAGTTTTTGCACTGTGTGAAAAACTGCCATTGAGGTCGTTAATTTTTCTTTTACGTACTTCGTATTACTTTCCTTGGCTTATGGAGGCGCATTGGATTGTGAAGTTCTTGGCATCCCTCCACACCTATTCTACTGTGCTAAGGAAGAACATCAGGGTTGCACAGGTGAAA